TGGATCCTGAGGCTTTCACTTCTTTCAGTTTTGTAATCATTATTATACAGTCCTATTGTGGTGGAGTTTAAAGATGCAGGGAAGATAAGCATTCTATAACTTTAAGATCAGACCTCATTCTCTTAGAGAGCCTATGTCTTTGGGCTATAACATTCACAAGTGCTATTCAGCTTTTTATTTTCTCTCTTAGGTGATAAAGGAAGGGTAGAAGAGGCTAGAATTGAATAATTAGCTTTTATCCACAGTGGGCCTCTAAAGAGGCTGTAGCTGTGTATCTCTCTTCCTTCACATCAATGGTTACAGGATGCTAGAGTTTAGCATATCCCTTCCCCCGGGTCAGTTAGGCTCCGGTAAGACTAAGTAGTTTAGGTTCTGATAAAATAGTTTTCTTTGAGAGCAGGACTTTATTAAGGAGAAGAGAACACTCTGAGAATATTTTGAAATGGTTAATTTTCCTCTCCCCCTGACAGAAGCATGAGGCAATTTTCTCAAGTTTCAAACAGAACCTGATAAGCTTCCTGGAGATAAAACTCATAAGTGTGGGGACTCCCTAAGTATTCCTCAAGCTAGTTCCACATTTAGTCTCCAGCAATTACTCAAATACCCTTTAAATGCTTTCACCAAACTCCACCTGTGGCTCTTGCTCCCTATAGGCTGCATCTACCTCTCTCTCCAGTTTAGGGTATAGCTGTGCCCTCAAGCCGTGAACTCAATCTTGAATGGATTTAAGAGTTGCTAACTATCAGATTGTTCCACTTTTTTTTCTTGGTGTGAGGACAGGAATGATAACTTCTAAGCTCTTTAGATGTTAGACCAGAAACCAGAAGTCCTCTAAGTTTTTCTCTTTTATAACATATCTAACTTAATCAGTCACTTTTTGACTTCTCATAATGTTTATAACTTTTCTGGCATTCATTTTATTTGCCTTTGCTTAACATTCCATTTATATGGGAAATTTCTTCCTTGATATTATAACCTCTTTAGGACATCATAACACATTCCGTATGCTTAATAACTGATGAATTTCATTAAAATTTAGGACATCATATGCTCTGTTGTCTTAATCCTATGGAAATAAATAATAGACACGTTCTTTCAGATTTCCTGTTTTTAAGAAAAATAGGATTTTAGTCAAGCAATATATATTAGACTTGCTATCCTACAGAAAGATTTCTGAATCTTTGAAATTCCTAAAAACACCATCTAAATCTGAATTTGTACACATTAACAGTGATTTTATTGCTGAGTAATAATAGTTACAATTATACAGTACTTAGTATATGCAAGTCATCGCTACCAGATTTTTTAAATTATTTTTAGTCCTTATAATAACCTTAATAAGTGAGTATCCTTTTATTCCTACTTTGTAGTTGTGGACAGTGAAACTTGGAAAAGTTAGAAGCCTTCTACAAAATCAAACAGTGATATGGAATTCAAAAGACATAGAACCCAAACCCAAGTTTATGTGATTATAGTCAACATTCTTAATTACTCTCCTACATGATCTCTCATGTATGTCTACTCTGCTACATGGACTCCCAATCTATCTCAACTCTATAAATCTCACCTTTTCAAATAAATCTTTCTTTATCTACCCTTTTGGCTTCAAACTGTTAAACCTTATTAAAGAAAAATAGACTAGCCCAAGGTGTCCAAGGTGTCTTGCATGGTACTTTTCCCAATACACCAAGTTTTGAGAGGACATTATACATACTGTTGGTCAGCAGATGGTTCTGCTGCAGTGGATTGAGGGTAGGAGCACCTCCAAGGCCTGGCCGGCCAGCCAAAGCTGCATGAGTAATTCCATGTTGGGGTCCAGAAGCAGCAAGAGGAGACTGCATCTTATCCTTATCCCAGGAAGATTCACTTCCACCTGAAAAACATTTAAATGAACAGATTGTAACTTGACAACTTTTCATGAGAAAGCTTTTTAAAAATTCCTTTTCTAGGGTTGTAATTATTAATATTACTTCTTAGAAAATTATTATTAAATGTAAGTAAGTCATTTTAGTATGGTTTTAAAAACTTTCAATAACCTTGGATTTAAGCTGCCTCTGGGAAGATTACACAATTCTCAGTAATATAGGCCCACTAGCCTTACAAATAGGTAGTCTAAACAAATCCAGAATCATAATGAGTAGCTTTTGAAAAGCATTTATATGTTGAACATTATTAACTGACCACTACTGCTTCCAATTCCAACCCTCTAACATACGTATGCTATATTTTGATGAAGAGCAGATGCTGTTCGCTCAAAAAGAACAAACTCATTTATAAGAACATAATAACATATAAAAATATATGTTAAGAAGTAAAATGACCAGTCATTTTGTTCTCAAATCCAGTCCTCAAAAAGTTAATCTCTTCATACACAGTGAATTTTTGTATAGAATAAGATAGATAAAATATAAAACCATGGCCCCCAGTTTGAAATTGTACTTTACTTTGATCATTTATGCTAGAGAGTAAAGTAAAATGTGTATGAATGAGACTACTATGTTATTGCAATGATCTACAATGGTATAGCTGTTTCATCTGGCACTTAGCATAATATAGGGACAGAAACATTACTTAAAACTATATAAGAAACAACCACGGAATTATTTCCAGTGCATAATTTTAAGGAAAATACTATAAACAGAGGGGTAAGGGGTTGATTTCCAGTCACTTCAGTTGCAGACAGTCTGGCTTTAGAAAAAAAAGTCGTCCTGTGGGCGGCTCCATCTATATGCTTGATGTGGTTCATTCATTCAGGGGTCAGTAGTTTGGCTCTCATTCCCATGATGGGTTTGTGACATTAGCATCTCTACCTGGTTAATTATCCCATATGTTGCCTAAAACATTGATCCTGTTTGGTGGAGGGGTTTAGGCCTAGGAAAATTGGACATTCTGTAAAATATGTGCATTTACTGTTTTTTTGGATTTTTTGGGTCTTTTTTTTGTTTTGTTTTGTTTTGTTTTGTTTTTTTAAGGTATAAGGAAATCAACATGCTCATATTCCTAACATTTAACATTGTAATAGTTTTCACTTCTTTGAGTTCCCTCTCAGGCTTTGTACATATGGATACTCATTTTTACATTACAAACGCTCTGCCATGTTGCTTCGGGTATCAGTTACAAAGTGTTATGGCTACATAGTAGCCTACTGAATTAATGTACTATAATTTATTAAACATTGGCCTTTGAGCCTGTTTCAAATTCATCACTATTATAAATTACACCATAACAACAACATTTATTTGAATTATTTCTTTAGAATCAACTAATTCCCTGGAGTGGGAATTCTGACTCAGAAATGAACATTTTTATACTTTTGCTTCCAAGTGCCACATTTGCAAAAGCAGTTTTTAGAGTTGAAGACTTTTTAAGGAAATGTTTTCAAAGCCAGTTTATATTCTCTCTGAAAATTTAAATTTTATTTAAGAAAACTATCTGCTAAAATCTCTGAGAGGCTTTTATTTTTAACCTTTCTACTCATTCATCTACACTTGCCCCAGCTCTAGAAATCCACCACCTCATCAGGACTCTTTCAAACCTCCTTTTGGCCAAAGTCAGTCTTTAATCCGAAAGTGGGGTTCTTGGCCAGTATCCAACTAGATGAGTTCCAGATAAGGAAACACCAGATTCTCCAGCAGCATATGTAAAGGCTGAGGGATACGTGGCCCTGCCCACATGGACATAGATTTTCCAATCAAATGGGGAAGAAATAAGTAGCTAATTGTTTAGTTACTGCTGTAAGTCATTCGGATGCCATGCATGGAAGTTTAGAAGGCAGATTTTTTTTTTTTTGAATTTGTTAGACCAACTTAATGGACCAGAAATCTTTCCCTTGATCATGTTGAGGTTTGGTGTGTTCACTGAAAACATACAACTGTCCTATGACTACACAAAATTATACTCTCTTTTCATCCAGATGTTTTCTGTTGTGTAGTAATTGCCTAAGAGCAGGGAGGTAATCTATGGTTAGTGCATTGACATAAGATAGCATTCACAAATTTGAAATTCCAATTAAAATCGATAAGATATTTTTATGCTGCAATGAACAGGAATGGTGGAGGGAGAGAAATGTTCTAATAAACAATGAAATTAACTACATTACAACACAGAGAATTCTTTATAGTAACATTCGGCTAATAAACATTAATATCAGAAAATGTAAAAATTAGAAAGATCAATTGTTAAGCAAAAATGGAACTACTCCATTATTTTAGCACTAAGTCTAAGATATAAATTACCTCACCATTACAGAATTGTGATTTGTGAAATGATGAGAAAAACACTGACAAAAAAAGATACATTTAGAAGACATTAAATTATATCACTGATATTAATATGGGATTGCGTAATCATAGCAGCAACAGCATACAGCAATATTAAGGCTAAGATTATGTCAAAATTTATTTTATACCACGCAACAACTCTTACCTTGTGGGCGCAGCTAATTCCCACATTTAGTCAGCCTGAGTATTAATCCCATCCACTGACCTACTAACAGCAATAAAGGCTTGGTGACAACAAAAGATCACATACAACCCGCACAAAGATCACGTCCAGAGCTCCCGGCATAAGGCATCAGGGAGAGTGCACCACTGGGCTACACAGGACACATTCCACATTAGATCATCTGGCTAAGGCTGAGAGATGAAACAAATATTTCTGATACATAGAAATGAACACAGAGAGGTTAATAAAATGAGAAAACAAAGAAACATGCCATGAATGAAACAATAGGAGAAAACTCCAGAAAATAAGCTAAATGAAATGGAGATGAGCAACCTAAAAGAGACAGAGTTCAAAATAATGGTTATAAGGATGCTCAATGAAATTAGGGGGAGAATGGATGAAAACAATGAGAATCTCAATAGCACATAAAAGGACATAGAAACCATAAAAAAGAGCCAGATAAAAATGAGGAATACAATAATTGAAATGAAGAATACACTTGAAGGATTCAACAGTAGATTGGATGAAGCAGAAGATCAAATCAGCAAATTGGAAGACAAGGTAGCAGAATACACCTGATCAGAAAAACAAAAAGAAAAAAAGAATTTTAAAAAAATTATGAGAGTTTAAGAGACCCCTGGGACAACATGAAGCATAAAAAGATCTGGGTAATAGAAGTACCTGAAGATGAAGAGAGAGAGAAAGGGATTGAGAATCTCTTTGAAGAAATAATGAATGAAAACTTCCCTAACCTGACAAAAGATTTAGACATACAAGTTCAGGAAGCACAGAGTCCCAAACAAGAGGAATTCAAACAGACCTACACCAAGACACATCATCATTAAAATGCCAAAGGTCAAAGACAAAGTGAGAATCTTAAAAGCAGCAAGAGAAAGGCAGCTAGTTATGTACCCCCATTGGAATGTCTGCTGACTTTTCAATGGAAACTTCGGAAGCCAGAAAGGAATGCTAAGAAATATTCAAAGTTATAAAAAACAAGAATCTACAAACACAGATACTTTACCCAGCAAGGCTTTCAATTAAAATGGAGTGTGAGATAAAGAGCTTCCCAGACAGGAAAAGGCTTAAGGAATTCATCGCCAACAAGCCAGCATAACAAGAAATGTTAAAGGGTCTTCTGTAAAAAGAGAAGGGGTTAAAAAGAAAATAAAAATAACAAATATGAATAATAAAGTGACAGTAACAATGTACCTATCAGTAATCACTTTAAATGTAAACGGATTAAATGCTCCAATCAAAAGACATAGGGTAACTGAATGGATAAGAAAACAAGACCCATGCATAT